CTCATGGGTACAGGGCTTGATTAGAAACTCAGAATGACTAATCTGTGGTTTTGAAAACTCATTTTCCACATGAAGACCCGAGCCACTCTTGTGGATTTGGAAACTCATCATTTCCTTGAACACTGAAGACATCAAAAATAAATCATCTAGGATTCTATGAGAAGGGCACATTTTTTGTGATCCATCATAAATATACCCCTCCACACACACACAGCATGTTCTTAGTTCTTACCCCCCACAGTTATGACTAGACAATATTCTAGGGCCCTATTTATGACCTTATTTTATGTAGCCCTCTTAGATATGGCTCATTGTTTAATCTGAAAAGTGAACTCCTAGGTTCATGAACTATGGAGTTTGAAGACCTGTAGAGATCATCATAAATTCATTATCTGTGTAGTTTAGTGGGTTTTTTATTTTTAACTTCTTAAAACTTTGTGGGAGAAGGAATTCCTAAGCAGTGAAACAGTTTGGGGTGAAACAGCAGAGGGTATATGAGAACCAAAAGTATTGTTATGTAACAATCATGTATCTGTTTTATAGAAAGATAGTCATCATGGTAGGTATAGTAGAGTATACCTGTAATCCTAGCATTCCGGCAGGAGGATCTTAAGTTTCAGATCAGCTTGGACAGTTTAGAAAAACTCTTGTCTCAGACAAACAAGATGAGTGGAGTAAGGTGGACAGCCAGTTCGGTCAGAAAACCATCAGAAACGAGAAGAGATGAATACAGACAGACAGAACTCTGTTTTGTATAGAATCCTAAGAAACACATATACAATAGAGGAGCTAGGCGATTCAACCAATCCATAGGAGTGACCCCCTAAGTGTCTCCACAAAACATTAGAACGCTGGAATACAGTTTGAAGTTTTGAGAACCTTCAGAGATTGATGAGTTTTGATTTTTGTTTTCCTGTTTTGTTTTGTTTTTGTCTCTAAAATACCATGCTGGCACTAAACAGTAAATAGTTTTGATTTTTTGAGGCCATTGTAGGGTTGGTTGCAACTGTTTATACTCAAGTCATCATGGCTGGAAGGCAGCTGTCAACACTCTGTGGCCTGGCATAGTAGTGGCCATTTTGCTTTGCTGATCCTGAACTTCCCCTCCTATTATTGCTCATTGGTTTGCTAACAGAGACTCTGAGGCAGAGAATGGGGAAGTTGTCATCCTTAGCCAACTGAGGACTAGAACTAAAGTCTCCTCAGGGCCACTGCGTTCCTTTTTCTTTGACTGTGCTGTCAAGCAGAGGTTTTCACACACACACACACACACACACACACACACACACACACACACACATATATATATATATGATGGGAAATGGGATGGGGAGAGAGACAGACAAGGTCTTTAGTTTCTTCATTTAAGGGTTTTTGTCAGAGGCAAAGTATTTCTTTGTCACAAAGTAGAAGCCCTCCCCCCCCAAACAATAGCATTTTCAAGGAAATATTGTTATTGTGGATACTCAATGATTCCTTCTAACTGTATCTTCAATAAACAGTTTTCCTCTATACATTTAGACTTAGTTCCTTCTCTGCATAAATGATTAGAAGTCTAGTGTTTATCTGATTATATTTTTATTAAATGATGTTATCCTCTGGGTCGGTCACTAAGACAATGAGAAGCACATTAAGGTTATTTGGGATAAATATTCACAATTGAGACCATTATTAGAACCTGTCTGACTTCGTAATGACCTTTTTCTCTATAAAAGAAGGAAAACAAAACAAAACAAAACACCAAGGACGTTTTGGTAGCAGATGCTCTTCTAAGCACTTTCCGTGTTATCTCATTTGATCCTTATAAAGGAACAGGCCACATTATTGCTGTATCTATATTATTGACTAATGAGTAATAAAGGCTCAGGGGAGAAATCAAAACTGAAGTCAGAGACATTTAAGCACCTTTTCCTTAAGTTGCATAAATCTGAAATAAGAATGCCAGGATAGGGACTCAGGCACTATGAGAACTTAGGATATTAGATTGCTACTACCTATATGTTCTTTACATAAGAAAGAAGCAGCAATATTTCCAGTGGCCTTGAAAGATCTAATTGGGGGGTCTACTGTTGCAATTAGGAATCTAATATTTGAGGAGCTTAACAGCACAGAGAGCTGTAAAAGACAGGCAGAGAAGACAAGGGAGGTCACCATGATGAAGGGAAAAGTAAGATATATAACATTTAGGATAGTAATGAAGGTAAAGCGCATGGACTGCGGTACTTAGAGATGCGCTACAAAATGTGGAGTATGTAACTTAGAAGATGGCCGAGTTAGTAAATTACATTCATAAAGCCCTGCATGGGCGGCATTCAAGAATTGTCACTTTCCGTTGTGCCATACCTAGGGGTTAAGCGCTTCCCGGGCTCTTGTGGTGTTTATGGTGTTTGCTATCATCTTGCCTTGACAGGGAGAAAGAGAGGAATTACGGCAATAATGGTCTTTATTTTTCTTAACTTGCTCTGCAGAATTTGTCTAAACTACATGCCTGCTTTCAATAAACTCAGAGAGCATCTTCATCCCACGTTGGTTTTCTCATGCAGGAGGTTGGCTTAGTGACTCCTCTTTCTGGGAGTGCTTTTCATAGGATATTTACTTTTCCTTTTTGAGAAAGGCAGGGCATCAGGAGATTGGCGTGACGCTGGGTTGCTTGCCTTTCAGTTTTCAACGCTTCCATTGCTGTATTTCACTATCAAGGCAAGAACGGCATGCTGTCTATGTTTAATTGCCTTTAAGTATAACTGCTGTAAGCCTTCGTAATTATAGTTCACGTTCTCTCCATTAGCATAGAACAGCTCCCTTAGGATTTTCAGCATGATTCACAAATAATGCATTCAACTCTAAATAACTCAAGAACATTATGGAACCCCAAAGGTGAAGGATAAAGAATGATTCCCCTCCCAGTACTAAATGCCTAGCAAATAGCAAGGCAGAGGCTTCGCAGCCCCAAATGTCTTGCTTGTACTCGTCCAAAAAGAAACGTTTAAGCATATTGAGAGGCAGGATATGATGACTTATTTGTTTATTTTCTATCCTCGGAAATGTTCTTAAATAGCAAAACATCTAGACTTAACTCTGCCTCTGTTGGGTTGCATGCAGTGATAGATTGAATGAGACCTGTCTTGGAAGGAAATGTCAATGAAACATTGAAACAGTTTACCAAATTTTGCCTTCTCATAGACAAAGGAGATGCAGAGGTCTGGAGGCAGGAATATGTAAGATGGGTTTCCCACCCCATGGAGAAAGCTCAGTAATTCTAATTTGGAAAGAGGGCGATTTGAAACAAATATTGTTTCCCCAGCAGTCAGCGGCCTTGCTGTTTGCAAATGGAAATAGAGCAGAATTGGTTGGGATGGAGACTCATTGCCGTGAAGGAGATAACTGGTTTTGGCACCGAGAAGTCCTGATGGGTCCTGTTGGCTTCATCAAAGCCATGTGGACAATGTTGGTACAATGAGCAACTTGCTATATTGCAGCTACCCACTGAAGTCACTCGGGGCTTAGGAATTACCCACAGTCAAATGTCTGGGTTTAGTTTTTTTAGTACAGGTTAGCAATAATACTTTAACTCTTAATCTTAGGGGTGAAGGTTATCCTCGAAGGGAATGGTAATGGCAGGTGTCCCTCACTTGGGAAGATTTCTATTTTAGAAAGAGGCTACAAGTTGATCTCCTAGAATTGGCTGATGCTGGACAAGTGTTGTGAGAAGCAGAGTCTGTTCTTTTGCAAGCAAGCTGCTAAGACTGCCTGCCCATTTCCCAGTTCTCTTGGATGTTGAAGAACGACTATCTCATTTAAGGCTCTCTAATCACTTCCTCCCTCGTTGCTACTGAGCCAAGATTTGGCTCGCAAGTTAAACGGGCACAGAGAACTCGCATTCTTATTTCCAGTTTTCTCGACGTTTACTTTGGTTTATTAGACTTGCAAATCTGGAGAATCATGATTTACTCAATCATTCACTGAGATATAGATTGATTCATTTGAGTATTTAGGGATCTTTGGTTCCAGAATAAAAGTAAAAAGTGTACAGTCATCAACCCCAACACGGGAAATAAGTCCCAAATTATTTGTTGTTTTTTAATAAAAAAAATATGTGCGACACTGCTGGTCCTGAGACCAAAAGGCATTTGTACCATCATGTGGCATAAACAGAAAAGCAGAAGTTTTCCAAGCAAACCAATGGAGGTTATTTTGGAGCATAACTAGGCATATTTTACAGAAAGACTTCTCTGGCTTCTTTATACCTTTAGTAGCCACTTTCTCCAGTCCCAGTATAAGAAAGGAGACAGAATTTTAAAGGGTTATGGGCTGGTGAAAAGTCTCAGTAGGTAAAGGGATTGCCACCAAACCTGACAACCACAGTTTGATACCTGGAAACCAAATGGTGAAAAGAGAGAGAAAATCTAGTCTCATAAGTTGTCTCCTGACTTCTATGTACCCATTGAGGCATGTGGGCATGTGACCATATATGTATGCATGAGCATGCGTCTCTCCTCTCAATCTCTCCCTCTCTCCATCCCCCCCCACCCCGCAACACACACAAATAAGCAATGTAAAAACAAAGAGGTAGGCTTCAGGTAAAAGTGAACATCATTCTTTTTTCTCCTCCCACCCTTTTAGCATTTATTACCTTTGAGAACTAAAATGAGGCATACTTTGTCTCAGACATCCTCATGTATAGCAAAGAGCAGAGGTGAGGGCTACCAGAAGTGGGGAACTGGCGATCTTGCCATCTAAGGTATTGTTTGGAGGGGCGTAGCCTTGGGGAAGACAAGCCTTTTGGGAAGGAGGAAGGGTTCAAGAGAGGCTCCCCTCTTTGTTCCCATTATTTGTACGAGATATACATGGCAACCAGCTGCTTATTCCAAGGGTTTGTCTCATGGTTCGTTCTTTTTGAAACAGGAGGAAATCTCAGATGAAGGCTGGATTTGAGAGTTTCGTAACTGACTCTGTTGCCCTCTTTTCTTTCCATTTGCAAACCTGCCACCCTGCACTTCCAGCTGAAAAAGAAGCAAGTGTATGTGGATAAGGTGGAGAAGATGCAGCAGGCCCTAGTGCAGCTCCAGGCGGCCTGTGAGAAACGCGAGCAGCTGGAGCATCGACTCCGCACACGTTTGGAGAGGGAACTGGAGTCCCTGAGAATCCAGCAGGTACTGTGCGACTTCCCGGGGATGGCGAGAGGTGTTAGATCAGTGCAATGGTTCTGCCCCAGTGTGTCTTCGTGAACCATGATGTTTATTAGGGTTCCTTACAGAAATACGGGCGAGGGGTTACTTACAGAAGTACAGGTGACTCCAGTGCAGCTGGAAAGCTTGCCCCAGTGTGGGTGATGACTCACTACAGTTGAATCACTAAAGATCTCTGCCCAATGTTCTGGCTGCTCTACTGATCACTATTTTTTTTTTCTCTCCAGCAATTGTTACTGCTTATGTAACTCCAGGGTGTGGGGAGAGGACTTAGGATTCTTGTGTTAGGTACCTTAACTCTGGAAATATGGTTTACTTCTTTACTTATTGAGGCTCGTAAGTTTCATTTATTCCCGAGTCTTCTTTACCAGGTACGGGATGAAGGAAAGGAAGAAAAGAAATGCCATTATTCCCGGGTGTTAATTAATTAATTAATTTTACTTGGTGTTTGGCAAAAACACTAAAGGCTTTTAAATGCTTTCTCATCTTTACATTTGTACCATCTCCCCGTGTTACGGCAGAAGGCTTTGCCAGGATAAACGCAAAGCTACCTATTTCCTTAGCTTCCACTTCCAGAAAAATTCATCATAGTATCTTACACCTTTGACTTTCCACTTGAACCAGAAGAAAAGACCCTACAGAAAGTGAAATAGCTACACATCTAGATTCTTGGATGGTTTTGGATCTTGGGCAGATCTTCTGTTTTGTTTATATTGAGACCAGGTCTCATGTTGTCCCAGCTGGCCTCCAGCCCAGTCTGTGCAGGTATGCTCTACCACGTCCAGCTGGAAGTGCTCCTTAGACATCTTCTGGTCATACTACTTATTGATTTAGAGGAGGAAAAAAAATCAAACCGCCCCTCCCCATAAAATGTTGCATAACTCACCAAAGATCTCATAAATTAGGAACAGTTTTAGAATCAAATCATAGGTTTAAAAAATTTTCATATCCCTTGTAGACTTTATGGTCAAGTGAAGATTGCTGCTTTTATTTCATTAGTCTAATTTCTTAACAACATGGCAATTGATAAGATAGATTCCTTTTCTGGTCAAGGGAGCTTCATATTGCAAGCCCAAGTCCCGTAGAGATCTAAATTCTCCTTCCTTGTTTTGAATCAGTATTCAAACTCGAGGTTGGGATTAACTTAGTGATGGAACACTTTACCAGTGCTCCCAGCACTGGAAGAGGAACCTCAGGTTGTTTGAAGCCTGGAGATAAGGCTCCATGATAGCGTGCTTGCCTAGCATGCGTAAATCTAAGTTAGATCTCTACCGCTATTCAAACAGGTAGAAAGACGAACAAAACACCTTGGGCAATCTCTTCCTTATAAAATAAAAGCTCTTAAAATTGGATTTGGTAGGGGAGCTATGTCAGTGGATTCCTGAGTTTAAGGCCAGCCAAGGCTACAGAGTGAGATCTTGTCTCAGAAAGTCATCCCTATGAAATAAATAGATAGAAATAAGTAAATCATAAATGATGTTCACGTGGACTTTGGGCACTATGGTTGTTGTTTCACAAATTCGAAGGGTCCTGCTGTCTCCCTCCACAGCGCCAGGGCAACTCTCAGCCCGCCAATGCTTCAGAATACAATGCTGCCGCACTGATGGAGCTCCTTCGCGAAAAGGAGGAGAGGATTCTTGCCCTGGAAGCAGATATGACAAAATGGGAGCAGAAGTACTTGGAAGAGAATGTGATGAGACATTTTGCTCTGGATGCTGCTGCCACTGTGGCTGCGCAGAGGTAAGGAGTGGGTAGGAGGGCCACTAGGTAAAAAGACGAGGATGGGAAAGCCAGGTATGGTAATTCATCCAGAGATTTCCCGGTCTTTCGTCTCCTTTCGTACTCTTCCCCACTCCAGTTTCTCTCAAATATATTTTCTTTCTTTCAACTATACAAGGACTGGATGGCTTTGGGGACAGAGGTTTAAGGACTTAAAAAGGTTTGCTCAATGGATGTTTTGGAATCATAGTTGAGTTGGCCTTAGGAGTGAGCTGGAGCATTGCAGGTGGGCTTGGCTAAGTATTTGGACACGTTGCCCCCATTAGCCAGGTGGGCATGCTGTTTAGTCTCGGCACCAAAGTGAAATCCCTTCCTGAGAAATTCCACGTGGAAAGCAAATGTCACTCAGGAGTGGCTGCTGCCATTTGATAGCTCTGGCTCTTCTTGGGGATGTGGCGAATATGAGTCCATCACTGCCCTTTGAGAAGGTCTATATTTGAAGGCCGCATTCTTTGTATTCCTGAGCTCATTACATACAAGTAGTCTCATTCTGTCTGCTACCAGAGGAAAATATGGCAAGAGAAAATGTTATTTCTGATTTCTTTGGCACGTTCTTTGTATATTATAAAAAAATGGTTAACTGTTTAGGAAACAATTGCTCTTTGCTAGTTTTGCTGTGTTACTCCTCCTCATAACTGTTAGCCGAGAAAGAAGCAACCCAATTATAACCAGGTGATGCCTTAGGTTGTACTAATGGACAGATTCTAAGCATACACTTGAGTGTTGATGATTGTGTAGAGTACATTGCACCCAAACAGGCTTCCTCCAGAACATTAATAAAAACAGCAGGGTATTTTTTTTTTGCATTCTTCCAAATGTGGTACATCAGTAGAGTCCAGCACTTGCAAGACTTTGGGCAGTGATCAGGGTGCAGAGTGGATCATGTGCGCTGTGGCCTGGCACATTCTCAACCTGCTCGTGATTCTCCACGAGCCCTTCTTTCCTCCTCCATGTGGTCATCCTGTTTCCAGATAACCTTATACCTTTGACGGACTGAAGCTGTCTTTGACTTAATCTTGAGGTCTTCATGAGCCGAAGCTTCCCTGGCTTTGTCTCCTGAGAAAAGCATGCTCAGTCAAAGCCAGTGTCAGAGTGGTAGCCAAGGAAACTCCAGCTGTGTCAGAAGATGGTCACAAGGCTTGGGGGCAGATGAGAAGCAGAATGTAGTGTCGGATTACCAAGCAGCTCCCAAAGAAGTGCAGCATTTGTTCAGAGCTATTTGTGAAAGACGGATGCTGAAAACCTAGTAATGGTGAGCCAGGGAGTTAGATGCAGGGGAACATTGTCAGCTTTATACAGATGCCTTGGGATGATATAGCTCGTGATGGTGCAGGGCATGAGAAAATGTTTGAAGGCAGTATCTTGGAGCTGACTACAGAACAGTCTCCAGGACAAAGTACAGGATAACTAGAGAACGCCCATTCCAACTCTCCTGTCTTGAAGGCACTATGCAGTGAGAGAATTCCCTTACAGACCTATATCCAAAATATATTGGCTTCTATGAATTATATTTGACTTAAATTGAATTGCTTTATATCACTAGGTAGTAAGTGTTCAGGTAATCACTGGATCCAGCAAAAATATGTATGATTATCATTTAATAGTATAAAACCCAGTCTGTTCTCAGTGTTCCTAGCTAATAGGGGCACCTTCTACCAGCAGCAAACGTTCCAAATCTGGAGTGTTTATAACTCATCCAGACAACAGGAGAGAACGAGGGAGAGACTGTACTGGAAGTGCTGTGACATAAATGAGTTAGACTAGATGGTTCTTCCAAGTCCTTCTGGGCTGTGTTTCCAAAGACAGGATCATTCCACTTTGCTGTGCAGAGCGGTTCCCTCTTTTTCATTCTTGATTTGATGACGAATTTGGGGAGAAACAGCCAGAAAACGTTATTTCTTAACTTATAGGCTTTTCTGTCTACCTTGCCCAAATTTCTTCACATTCCTTTTATATGTGTTACCCTCCCACCAGCCAGCCTAAAGGTAGACATGAAGAGTCTGTCCGGTGATCACTTTCTGTCGTGGAAAGCTTCATATATTTTTTTTTATTCAATGCAGTTTTTAAATGCCTGGAATACTGGCTGCATATGAAAAGTGCTCAAAATTTCATTAAATGGGGAGGGACAAAGAAGGAAGGGAGGAAGGAAGGAAGGAAGGAAGGAAGGAAGGAAGGAAGGAAGGAAGGAAGGAAGGAAAGGAGGCTGAGAGGGATTTTTTCTAAATGTGTAACTTATATTGACAAATTTAATTAGTACTACATTTTAACACACTGCCTGGTGTCTGCATATTCTATCAGCATCTCAATTTAAAATATTCTAAACTTCACAGGTCTATGACAGGTAGCTCACAGGTAAGCAACATGTGTCACAATTCAGTCACCCTATTTGAGTGATATCAATAGTAGAAATGACAGAGGTTTTTTTTTCAGCTAAAATATTAGTCAACACAGTAATAAATTAATCAACTTCAAGTGTACGATTGGAATTTTGGAAAATGGATACAACAGTGGAGCTTCTACCAAAATCATAGGAGGCACATTCTTACATGACCTTGTGTCCTTTAAACTTGATGCCTTCCTCCCTAGACAATGAGTCATCTGGTTTTAGTCATAGAATTACTAACTCCTTTCCTAGAGTGTCAATATAAAAGGAGTCTTATTGTGTTTACACTTTTTGTTTTACTTCTTGTGCTCAGCATAATTATTTTGAGCCTTCCCAGTTGATGAATGTATTAATAGCCCATGCCTTTTTATTTCTGTGTAATGTGCCGTGCAATGGATATAGCATAGATTATTTATCCATCCACCTGATGACGGCTATTTGGATTATTTCCAGTTTGGGACCTGTAGTTATAATGAAATGCAAATTTTAATGTAAGAGTAAAAAGTTTATTTTCTTGGGTTAGAAGGCATACTAGGGTGATCTGTTTATACCCTTTCTAGAGCTCTGATTCTGGCTAACCTTTTGTCAAGGGGAAGTTGTTGATACAATGGCTTCAAACAGGAATAGGGGACTAGAAGCGTCCAGGAGTAGACAGTGATCCTGAGCAGTAGTGTATTCAGTGAAAAGGAAGGAAAGAGGGGGAGAAAGAAAGAATATATTGGAGGCTCATGGCTTGTCTAGAAAGGTAATTTAATTTTTTCTTATTTAAAATAAGTACCTAAGGTGGTGGCGGCACAGCGCCAGTACATAAGCGGGCCAGGGAGAAAGTCTGTGAGTTCAAAACCAGCCTAGGCTTTACAAGACCCTGTATAAAATAAAATAGGTTTTGACATTTAATACTTTTTTTTATCCAAAGGATATTAGAAAGTCTCTTTTATTGGTCAAAAATAGGCAGTACTCTTCTGAGGACTTTAAATTTGTTGCTTATCCTTAGGTGCTGTCAAGCATTCTCTTCTCAGGCCCAGAGGAATTATAGCATCTCTAAATCCAAACAAAAGGGCACAAGAGCCAAGATTTAAATCAACATTTTCTCACCTTGTCTGTCTCTGAGATGTGGCGTGGCTCATTAATGGGGAACTTGGTATCATTAGCTGCTCAATAAAGAAAGTATTAATTGAGGCTTATTACCTAGGCACCTGGAAGCATTATGAATAATTGCACCATCATTCCCCGCAGTCAGACTCTCAGTTAATGTGTCTCCAGAGAATCTAGGTGCTTAATATGATAAATGGAAATCCCTACCAAGAAGTTCTTGTGCATTCCCTGAAGACCAGATTTGGCAATACACATTTTGAGTTCAAGCTCATAAATGGTGAATTTATGCCTGAAGAGCAGCAAAAAAAAGATAATACGATAACAACCCATCAGCCATGTATTATCCTGTTATGTTGGATTTATTGAATTGGGTTGTTAACTGTACTTGGAATGTTCAGAAAAGGAGGAAGTAAAGAGAGCTCAGGAAGAAGACACACACCACACATGGCTTTTCTCAGCTTCCATATTCTGCTTCTCCGTCTGTATTCTGCTACAGTTACCTGGTTTTCTACCATGACTTCTCTGAAATAAGAAAAATGATGTAATAGTTGCTCTGACATCTCTGAAATTAAACTGAAAATCTCCAATAACTCACTGGATCTTGTCTTATGACTGTTCTCCAGGCAACTTCACTACAATAACTCTGAAATCTAAAGTCATCGGCACTTTCCAAAAACTCTCTCCTTGTTTTCCTATGACAGCCAACCGTAGTCCATGATTTGAATTACAAATGTAGTTCTCATTTATTCTTTCATCTCCCCAATGCTCTCTCATTGACATGGTCTCCCAAGTTCAATCACATCCACCTCCGACAGCCTGTTCCCACTTCCCCTTCTACGTTACGGTTTGGGTTTTCATTATCGCCTGATGGGATTACTGCAATCACCTTCCTTACTGGTCTCTTGATTCAAGTACCTCTCTCTTCTGGTCCAACCATCACATTTCCGCAACAGATAATACTATTGTCCTAAAGCCTGGCACAGGTCCTCTCGTTCTCCAGAAAAAGCCCTAGCAATTTTCAGTGCCTATTAGACTAAAGTCCAAACTCATTCCTGTAGTGGTTAATTATTTATCTTTTGTCTTCCCTTGCAAGTTTCCTGCAGCCAGGGACTAATCATTTCCACGTGTTTCTCTTCTCTGGCCTCCCACCATGTTCCACTTATGGTAACATTCTTGTATTAAATAAGCAGCAGAATGCTACCCAGAGGAAAATATGAAGCATATTTATTGATTGATTTTTTTTAAAAAAATAATTTTTGTATTTACTGAATTTTTAAAATTTCTTTTATTTTTTTATAAAAAGAAAGCAAACTATCTTTTTTCATTTTACATACCAATTCCAGTTCCCAATCCCTTCCCTCCTCCCCTCTCCTCCACCTATTCCCCCACCCTACCCCCATCCACTCCTCAGACAGGGTATGGTGCATTGCTTTGGGGAAGGTCCAAGGTCCTCCCTACTATATCTAGGCTGAGCAAGGTATCCGCCCAAAGAGAATAGGTTCCCAAAAAGCCAGTACAAGCAGTAGGGATAAATCCTGGTGTCACTGCCAGTGACCCCACAGTTGCCTCAGCCATACACCTGTCACCCACATTCAGGTGGATTAGTTTAGACCTATGTTTGGACCTATGCCGGTTCTTTACCTGTCTGGCTGGAGTTGGTGAGCCTCCATTAACTCAGGCAAACTGTTTCAGTGGGTGTCCCCATCATGATCTTGACCTTTTGCTCATGTTCTCACTCCTCCCACTCTTCAACTGGACTTTGGGACCTCAGCCCAGTGCTCAGCTGCAGGTCTCTGCCTCTGCTTCCATCATTTTCTGTGTGAAGGTTCTACGGTGATATTTAAGATATTCATCAGTCTGACTACAGGGCAAGGCCAGTTTTGGCACCATCTCCTCTATTGCTTAGGGTCTTATCTGGGATATCCTTGTGTATTCCTGGGAATTTCTCTAGTGCCAGGATTCTTGCTAGCCTCATAATGGGTGCCTTAATCAAAATATCTCATTCCTTGCCCTCATCTCTGTCCTTCCCCCTTCTCGACTCTCCTGTTCCCTCAAGTTCACCTCTACCCACCCCTTTTCCCCTCCTCTTCTCCTTCTGCCCTCCCTTCTCCCCCACCCCCATGCCCCCAATTTTGTCAGGTGATCTTGTCTATTTCCCATTTTCAGTTGGATCTATGTTTATTTTTTCTTAGGATTTACTTTGTTATTTAGCTTCTCTATAGGCACAATATCCTTTGTTTTATAGCTAGTATCCTGATTTTTAGAACTATTTTTGATCTTTTGAGATAGGGTCTTACTGTGTGACCTTGCCTGGCCTAAAACTTGTTACATAGAGCTGGTCTTGGAGTGATCTCTCTGCCTCAGCATCCCAAAGGGCTAGGATTATAGGCATGAATTACCACACTTGAAGTTTAAATGTCTACTAAGTGATTTAAATAGGACTGGGCTGTGGTGGCCCACACCTTTAATCCTAGTACTCAGGAGACAGAGGTAGGTGGATTGCTGTCCTCTACAGAGCGAGTTCCAGAACAGCAGAGACTACACATAGAGAAACCCTGTCTTGAAAAAAAACAAGTATTTTAATTAGGAAATCATGAGTGACAATCTCAAAAGTACTATAGTTTGGATTATACTATGAGAGAAAAGAAAAAGAGAGATAATTTGGGGGATATTGACAAACATCCTTTTATTTAAGACTTTGAGATGATGGTATATCCAGTTCCGATGCATGTGTCTTAGGTTGTGCATACCGTTTTCAGACTGCAACCAGTATCTCCTGATATCTGGGGGACAATCGGAGAGTACTGGAAGTTGTTTCTTCAGACGCTGTGCTAGCCTGCGTTTGCAGAGCCATTGGCTTCATAGCTCTGGTCTTCTACAAGGAAGATTGATGCTGAGGGCTGTCCTGGCAGCCTTGTTGGAATTCACTAAGTGCCCCACATTTTCAGGCTCCATTCCTGAGGAGTTCACAGTGTCCATATCAATTAGCCGGCCGGTCTCTGTGTACCCAAACTGGTCTTTTATGCAATGAAAGTGGCAGTAGGCCAGCCCTATTTCCCCCAGTGACAAACTGGACGTTCAAGCCCCCAGTGTCTGTAGACACCACACACTTTTCAGGAGGCTTGGCTCTAAAGTTTCCCTTGGCACTCTGTTAGGTCAGGGATGGCCTCCAGGATTACACCAAAGGGTAGAATGTCTTAAAGTCATAATGCCGGCTTTTTGTTGTTCTCTTTCTACCTCTGCACTTCTCAATATGAAAAAAGCATTGTTGAGTGCATTGATTGCGCCTGATGGTATATGTTTTTATATGAATAATTTTGTATTGCATGAAGTAGAAGGAAATGTCATTTCTGTTGCCTTTTTGCATATGAGGAAGAATAAGCATAAAACATGTAACTGACTTTCGGAGATCCGAAAGTTTGTTAGTGGCAGAGTATTTGTGGAAGTTTCGATGTGATCCTGGACCTGTCTGTAGTAAAAGCCTTGATATCAAGTACGTAGTGCTGTTTTCTCTCAGACAATCCAGTGAGATTGTGAACAAGTGAATTGCACTGAAGGAATATAGAATTTGGGGATGTTAAAATAGTTTGAATTTGGCAAATGATGACAGCAAATGTATCCCTCCTTCTGGCCAATTCCAATGAATGGTATCACTTCTGCAAGTGAGCTCTAGGCTTTGGGACAGCAGTGGCTTTTGCAGAGGCCTACCAAACTTCCCCAAGCTGGACATTTAACTTACTACCTGTTGACGCCTCTGTTATTATATTGTACCCAACATGTACTCATCATAATCTCAATGCCAAGAAAATATAGCTCTCTAGCTTCCAGCAGATAATACACCTAGGATATGGGAGGAGTACGGTGAAGCAGGGCCAGTTCACCATTCTTCAGTCTATTGTCCCGATGTTAATCTTTGTAATCCCGTGTGTCTTCCCTCAACCATAATACCTATCTCTTTCCCTTAGTCCTCATCTCTAGTTCTCTGTCCTTTGTCTCTCTTCCCCTCCCCATTTCTGCCTCTGCCATTCTCTCCTATGCACACGTGTTTCTCCTCAATAAGAGTTGAGGAGTTAATGGCCTGAGACAATTTCAGGTGGAACCTAATGACCCCTTGCCCAGCTGGGGCTCTGGCAAGAGAACAGTTACTTAGTTGGTATAAGCTCATGCATTCAGTGATAGAATAGTTCCGATGTAGATTAGATAAAGAACCAAATAGCCCCGAGTCCAAGGCCCCTTTTGTTAGTTCCTGTGCCCAAACTGTGTCTGCTGTTTTGTTTCTAGCCCTCATATGTAAACTGTCCCCAATCCTCCCCAGCCACCTCCAGTTCCCTCCAAAGTTTAACCTCTCCACTCTGTGACTGTTAGGAGAATAAATTGGAAAGCGTACCGATTCCTCTTGCTCTTTGGGGGCCTACAAATGCTGAATGAGACGGGCTGCTAGAAAATTGGGGGAGACGTGCTTATCCCGTTCCATATAGCCAGTGTATGCATATTTAACCAAATCTCCACTTCGGCAGCCATGTCCATGCCAGTGTCTTCTACCCTGAAATCTTCCTTGCTGAAAGCTCTTTCCAGTAAGTCACTCAGAAACCAACCGCTCCTATTGAGATTCAGTTCAGTTTAAAGCCTTTCAGCAAAACGTCCACTGACTTAGGCTAGAGAATGACATCTATTCATTCTGATGCCTGTTCATCATCATCACTGCCCATTTTCCTCCTCAGAGACACAACGGTCATTAGCCACTCTCCTAACACCAGCTATGACACAGCCTTAGAGGCCCGCATCCAGAAGGAAGAGGAAGAAATCCTGATGGCCAACAAGCGTTGCATGGACATGGAAGGAAGGTACGATCTGGATGTGGACTCAGATGGGTTGAGAACTTGATGTTGAGATCAGCTAGATCAATAGAGAAAGACAAGAAAGTTCATTCATAAATGATGAACTAGATTGTGTTGTCCCCTCCCCGCTTTCATTCCTGCTAATTACTTACCCAGGGTTTGATGTGATGACCATTATAATGAACATTCAACTATGCAATTCCAAGTAGGATTGCTTTCCCCTGGATTCTGTAATTGTTTTCATTTGCATTTTGCTTGATCCGATTTATTACTCTGAGGTGTTCTTCATAACACTACAGCTCCATTCTATAATAGAGCCGATTTCTCAACAAAACATCTGTTCACACTGAGAGAAATACAGCATCCAGTGACTTTTTTGGACTTAGTGTCATTTACATTTTACCTGAATGTCATGTATTATTAGTAGAATGCTCCATTTTCTCACTGAATGTGCTGTTACTATGGAAGAGCACCTTCAGCAAAGGATGATGTCTTAGATCTATAGCCTTTCTCTTTGCTAATATTTGACTTTGATTCTCTGATGTGTCAGCGGAAGTTCTTATATGTTCTCTTGCATCTCCTTAGCCATCCATAAAATGTGTTATTTTTTTTCCTTAAAGCTCTAACGTGCTGACTCTTCCCTCCAAACTCAGACAACACTTAGTAGAAAAGATGATGGGAATGCAAATCCACTTAGGCAGGGAGATCAGAACACAGAGGTAGCAACCACGTTTCTGTATGTGCTTTCTCTTCGCCTTTTAGGATTAAGACGCTCCACGCCCAGATTATTGAAAAGGATGCTATGATCAAAGTGCTGCAGCAGCGCTCCAGGAAAGAGCCCAGTAAGACAGAGCAGCTGTCGTCCATGAGGCCAGCGAAGTCTCTGATGTCCATCTCCAATGCTGGATCAGGCCTGCTTGCCCACTCCTCTACCCTGACTGGTACTCCCATCATGGAGGAGAAGCGAGATGACAAAAACTGGAAGGGGAGCCTAGGTAATGAAAAGGAAAGCAAACAAGGGAAGTGCACAGTGATGGACTTAGAAAGTGTCCGGCCTGTGCTACACACAGCAAGGAGAAGAGACAATGGTCCAGGTTCTAGAGAGGAGAATTCAGGGATGCTTTTGCCCCTGATGGAACGAGCTGCATGTTCAGGAACTCTGAAGTCTCATGGCAAGAATATTAATTGAGGCCAAAGCCTGAAAAAAAAATTAGAATCCTGAATTCCTTGGGGATGGGAAGGAACACAACTTGAGTTTTATGTAAAAAAAAAAAAAATCTCAGATTTGGCTTTTGTCACATGGGAACTTTGTTCAAAACCGAAATGGCCTTCATCTCAGGCAAAATTCAAAATTACAGCGTTGCTGTGTTCCTTTCTTTCCTACAGAAAGAGGACCCAAAGTTCTCTTTAAGCTAATGGGGTCAAGTGGCAGCTTTTGTTACCAGACTGTTCCAACATGCGAACAGACTGTGCTTTTTTGTTCAATTCCTGTCTATTTCATCCCCTCTAATTAAAGCCTCAGAGTCTCATAGATACTGGGACATGTTTTTTTGACCCCGAGGAAGCAAACAAATATATATTTCAAATCTTTTTTTTGTTTTTGTTTTTATTGCCTTTCTTTGTTCTCTGACTCTTGCAGTATCCTTTAGTCTGAGTAAGCATTCTGGGAGCCATTTTCATGGTTGGCACTGTAGTTTACACAACGAAAAGCACCCTCGTGGGTATCCATACAGATTCCCCATACTCCTGGGTTATTTTCAGCTCTCTGGTAATATGGGGCATTAATATTACTGGAACAGAATAGAACTCTGACGAGTTGTTCTGCCACAATCACCAATGGGGAGAAAATTGATAAAGTACCAAGGACACACACAGGTTTAATACGTTGTCTTCAGACTTTGGTAACGAAGACGAGAAGGGATCCTCTAAGTCCAAAACCAACCTTTAGCTATGGTGGGAAATGTAGGCTCCCAGAGGTTCACTCGAAGTAAAAACAAATAGTTTTCAAAGAAAAAATGTCATATATTTTCTTTTCCTGAACTCCGACAAGGGTGAATAGTTAATTGGTGTCTAGCTAGGAATCACCTACTTTTCTCTTGTCCCTGGCTTCATCTGTAGGCGTTCTTCTGGGTGGAGACTATCGTGCCGAGTCTGTCCCATCCACACCTTCACCTGTGCCTCCATCGACGCCCCTGCTCTCAGCTCACTCGAAGACAGGCAGTCGAGACTGCAGCACCCAAACCGAACGTGGATCGGAACCAAGCAAAACCGCAGCTGCTACTCCCATCTCTGTTCCGGTTGCCGTTCCAGTTGCTGCTGCTGCCGCCCCTGCTGCTGCCAACACTGCAAGTGCTGCCACCAACACTGCCGCAGCTGCCACCAACACCACTATCATGGTAGCTGCTGCTCCAGTTGCTGTTGCTGCTACTGCTGCTCCAGCTACTGCCGCTGCCACTGCCCCATCTCCAGCAAATGCTGCTGCTCTTGCTGCTGCTGTCTCTCCAGCTGCGCCTGTCTCTCCAGCTGCTCCTGTCTCTCCAGCTGCTGCTGCTCAGATTCCAGCTGCTTCATCTCTTACTTCTGCTACTGTTTCTCCTACCCCTTCTGCTGCTACTGTCGCTACTGCAGCTACTGCAGCCGCAGCTGTTGCTGCTGCTGCTGCTACGGCTGTTCAGGTTGCTCCAGCTGCTTCGGCTCCGGTTCCAGCTCCCGCTCCGATTCCGGCTTCAGCAACGGCTCAGGCTTCTGCTCCGACTCCGACTCAGGCATCAACTCCAGCTCCGACTGCAGTTCCTACTCCAGCTCCGACTCCAACTCCAGCTTTGGTTCAAGCTGAGGGTCCTGCAAGTCCAGGTACCAGCTGTGGACCACGCCGGTTGTCCACACCAAATCTGATGTGCAACCCAGACAAGCCAGGTAATTCCCGTTTATCTTCTGGTTTTGTTCTCAGATGTAGGTCTATTAGTTGGTGCCTGCCATTTTGACAGAGTTGAATGTTTCATGATCTAATGGGGATTGGTTAGAGAAGAGACAAGAAGAGCTTCTGGAAATGCTTTCTCTCATTCACTAAAATAAAAATGGTCATGAGTGGCCATTTTACCAGGAAAGTAAATGATGCCGATGTACCTAGTGGCAAGTCACTCTTAGAAATTAGTTTTGTGATGGCTCTTCGCGTTGTTTGGTGAAAGTTCTTTTTTTTTCTTTGTCTCTAATTCTTTTCTATCCTCTCATTTCCATTTAGATGGTCCTGTCTTCCACTCCAACACTCTGGAAAGAAAAGCACCCATTCAGATCCTGAGTCAAGAACCCGATGCAGAGATGGTGGAATATCTCATCTAAACAGCATACTCGAAAGCTGAAGTTATCAGCAAGAGTTCATTTAATCATTTTTCCCTTGTGTTTGTTTAATCTAGGGTGATGATGGGGTTGGGAGGTGGGGATGATTTTTTAAAGGGACTTTTTATTGGACTCTTGTAGTACTTAATACCATGATAATTCCAGTCTATTTTGGAATACATAGGGAGTACCTCAAGATGATAGGTTAAACAGAATGTTCTCTAGAACTAATTGCTGGCATTGATCTAAATCATGGACTATTAACTGGTAGCGATGTCCATTGATTTCAGATGCTTCAATTTGTTTTGACATTTCCCAATTTGAGGTCATTTTTCATTGAAGAATACAGCATGTGTGGAAGGCAGTTTGTAACACGTAGTTCAGAAGTGGAAATCTGGAGAGAATTTGAAGATTTGCTGCTTTGTCTAGCGACTACCTGGACAACAGCCATAGAACGGTCTTTCTTTAAGCTGAGAAAAGAAAGCGTTTTAGGAGCTTTGGAAGCTGGTGAAAAGGAAGAGAGTATTGGGGTTAAGAAGGGAACTGGACCACTTTTCTCTCCCAGTTGCCAGTTACCCTGCCCCTTCATACTGATGGTATTTATCTTCATTTCAATGGTGCTTTGGAAGTGGATTCTTTTGGTTCCCTCCTGGAGGTTCATACATTCATATATATACTCTGGAATAATTTATGCATTTGGATAATTAATATATTGCTTTCAGATGGTAGGAGAGTAAATGAACAGAGGGATGCATGACTTCCTCTCTCATGGGGGGTTAGATGTTAGAAGCTTCAGTGGAGGGCTTCATGAGATGCTGCATGCGGACTTTTGTGGTCAAGAGATAGTCATGAACACGGCTCAGTCACCTTAAATTTAACCAGTTGACTGACTTAGCCTTTATTTCTTCCACAAGGCAGATGCACTGACTGGTTCCCCAGTCTTTGTTTGCCAATAATTTGCAAAATGAGGAAACATCTTTTTTGGACAGGTTGAATGTGTTGAATTTCTGGCTAATACTTTGAAATATTTCAGTTTTGTTTTCCCAAATTAGCCTGTGTCTTCAAAGGCATATGCAACTGTCACCTCCATGAAAAAAGCATAAGAAGTCCAAAGTGCCGGGCTGCAGTCAGGAGAGAGGTTGATTGCAGCAATCTCCTCAACTACCTCTTCTCACTGCCAGTGACGCCATCTTGGAAACCCCTTGGGAAGCAGCTGGGAATGTATACATGGGCGGGACCAAACAGGGAACCTTACCATAAGGCTGCCTCTAAGGACACAGAAGGTGTCAGTTGTCACAGGTCCTTGTCCTTAGTCTCTGCCCTTCATAAGGTGATATAACTTCAGATAGTATCATTAAGGTCTGTTTTCAGGGGTATAGGAAGGGTCAGGGGAGGGGGACTATTAAGTATAAGGGGTAGAGGTTTAGTGATATGTTATGTTAGAAATCACATTGATAGAAGGGTAGCCTATATATTATGCCATGGACTTTAGTGATGGAAAGGAACTTTATCTAGCAATGTAGCTCTACATTCTAACTTTAGTTGATGAGGAATCTGAGACTTGGAGAAGTTCAGTGACTTTTTCAAGATCACACAGCGTATCTGTCTGCTCTGCCAATTACATACCTATTTTGGGAAATGATTATCTATAAAAAAAAGAGCCTGTTTTGAAGAAAGGGCATTTTCCTAGTCTAGGGTATGCCTACTTTATGAAAATCTTCTTGGTTTGACTAGATTGTTTGGGGTGATTTCTCGCCTTGTCTCTGCTGGAGTGCCTTGTATGGAACTGTTCTTTTTCTCATCCCATTTCATCATGAGCTACATGAAATGCACCCCTAAGACATCAACTCAGCTGTTTTTCACAATAAAATCGTGTGTTTGGGGTTATTTTATGTATTGCTCTGTGAGTATAAGAGTGCTCTATTTACCTGTATTCTTGAGTAGTTCCTAATTACCTTCCAAAGGATTTATTTGTGTGTGTGGGTGTGTGTGTGAAGGAAATGCAAAACAACTATTAACTAGTTTTTCACATTATTAATAACAAAATGATCATCCAGTCCAGCAATCCTCAGTTAAAGAGTGAACGCCAAATAGAAACGTGAAGCAGTCCTGTGAATAATGCTCATTCACAGCATTTTTCTGTTGCAAGAAAAAAAATCTTCAGCCAGTAGAAGAATCAGGCAACAAGCACCAGGAGAGCGACTTTCTGCCCAAGCTAATGAATGAAAATAAAAAGCTTTTTATGTCCTCTCCCGATGACAACACATTGCTAGAATTTGGGCTGACACTGGGAGCCATGATTCCAGTCACATTTTATGAAGTGACAGATGTGGTACCTTCTTCACTGTGTGGCAACCATCTCTTTAGAATCATGTGTTTGGGGATAGAAGGAAGTCCTTGCGGAAGTACTATTTGGAACTTTCCTGAACCTTTCTGGCCTACCACACTAGAGGCGGTTCTGCTCAGTATTCAGGCCCAGGCAATTTTCTAGAAGGACAGTGTAACATCTAAGAAAAGGAAGAAGACTGTGTTGGTATAGTCTGTTTATGGACCATACAGGCCCCACCTCTTGAGAAAATTTCTACTAGGCATCAGTTTAAAATTCAGTTATATGTGAAAATCTCAAATTAGCCACCTCTTCCCAGTTGTGTGGATGTAGCATTTGAAGCCTCTTCTTGGACTTTCTCCTATCTACAATAAAATGTATGCATTTTCCTGGCACCCTAGAAGAAGTGGGGACATTTGTTGTCTTAACTTTTATTGCTGGGTGGTCTATGAGCATATTATTCTTCATTACCCGCAATGTCCCATGTCCAGCAGAATTTCATTTGATTGAACTATACTTGATACAAAACTGTTAACATTGTTGCGGAAGTAAACTCGGCTTGAACTTCCTTTGAAAGTCATGTATTGTGACTGTTGTCTTAATGAAGGTTTTGATTTCAGTGTTGCTTTTGAGTTGCAGCATGACGGGGTGGTAGAAACTTGAAGCATCTGCCATGATCTGTGACAGGAAATATAGCAAGATACCTGTCCTGTTCTCTTCTTCCTTTTGCATTGTTGAGTGGCTCTGACAAACTGATTCCCAACCTACTTTTTATGAAGAATCTAAATAATGTGGCAGCTTAAAGTATAGATGTATGTGCTAACTTTAACAAACGCTCATGTCTGTTAGCCGTACAATCTATTAGCTTAAATGCTCATTCATACATGGAATGTGTTACTTAGAAATGTGTTCCTTCTTCCAAGGAAATACTTTCAAAGGGAGGTATTGGCTGTGGGTTCATTGTTACCAATTTCTGCCTGCCACAATCTTTAGAAATTCTTCTTCCAAGTGCCACCGTTGACAGTAGGAGAAAGGGTGGAAACATGGACATTTTCTTCTGGTAGCAAGGGAGGGTTACAAGAAGCGTTCAAACCTCCTTCTGCCCTACTTTGTTATCAATGGCATGTGTTTAATAAAATGGCTAGATGGGGTTGGCAGATGGTTTGAGAAGAATTCCTTTTGGTTTAATATATGTGGTCTCATAGTGGTTGTGATTCTATTCTGTAATCATGAGAGGTAGATCAAATAAAGTTAAGCAGGATAAATCCACTTTGTGCCTATCTTTTCACTGACAATAATAAAGTAAGCTGTTTGAAAATGAAGCACCGTGTGGACAATGCTTTGGTGTTTACTGGATATAGGCTTTATGTGCTTAGTAATTACTTTCAACTCAGCACACGGTGAAATTGTCTTGCACCAGCAACAGAATTTGCATTTGCTCAAAGTATAGGAAGTGATTAAAAAGTCTCCAGATAACATAACAGGCAGTGTGTACTAGTCAGTATTTCTATTTACAAATACAATATATAGTAAAAAGTTTTGCACCTTTTTGTTTCCTGGTTCTGGGTGATAAAATGATGGACACCCAAAGCTGATAATTAATTGGAGGTTAGCATTTTGGAAGCACCATACGCGCATACTTTGGCATCCCTTTTGTAACAATAGTAGTTGTGCCAATTCAACCATTTTGGTTGAGAAAGCTTGTTATAAAGGCAAATAACACCCATGCACATACTGTCGACACTAAGAGGAGTCAATGGGGTTAAACAAGAGCATGTCAAATAGGGAGGGAAAAGTGATGGGGCAGTATGGGGTGAGTTGGAAAGGAGGGAGTGAAGGGGGATTGGATGAAAACACATAGTCATATATGCGTTTAAATAGTAAAAATAAACCAATGAGGGCAAAATCCACATTAGTTGGGTCGTCACTAAAAATGATAAGGCTGCCCTTATACAGCCTTCTGTGCTTCATATTTACTAGTGAGTTTGGAACCTAAGCGCGGAAGAAAGGATCCACAAGTACTTTGAAATAACCTGTTTTTGATTGATGTTACAAGTGAGGTTGATCAGGGACAGAATTTATACAACTATAAATATGATTTGGGACTGGATTCTCTCCATATTTATGATGAGTGATTTGACAACTATGAATGAAAACCAGCCCCTCTTTTTCAGCCCAAAGAAAGACATAGTAATAAAAGCTTTTTACAAAGCTTTGGCAACCAGAGTTTTCAGAAATAGCTCCTTCCTGGTTTTTAAATGGTTGTCTATTCAAGAGCCCATTTAAAACATATGACATCACATATGTAGGAGCATTTCTAGGTAGTATGATTTGATCATAGGTAGTATCAATTTGATGTCTACCTGTTTCTCACACCCTTGGATGGGACATGACCTCCTGAGAACAGAAATCCCTTTTCCCACCTCTCCTGATGCCATCTTCCCCTACAAGAAGTTTCGTTTATTTGCTCATATGTTTGTTTACTTGCTTTGGAAAAAATTAATTCAAAATTCTTTGATCTTAGAACATTTTACACATGGACCGGTAATCACCTGACATAGGAGGGGAGTGTCCTCAATGATAGGACCTACTCCTTAGCTCCTCCAGAAAATGTTCCTTTCAACTTCAGCATTGCATATCACATTACAAGTATGCGCTCCTAGATGCACCAAGTGACCAAAAGCATTGATTTTGCTACCAATGTATTGCCATTTACCCAGTTTCCTCTAAATTAAGTACGTGTAAATTGCTGAGTACATACTTACTTGATGTTGGCATTTTGGAAAAAAAAAAACTAGACGATTTTAAGTCCATGATTCTAGGAAGCTACGGAAATGACACACACACACACACACGAGCACACAGTTAAAATTCATTGTGACAAAATTCCTAGTGCAAAGGAAGGGATGGTTATTGGGACGACTTAAAGGAAACGATTTGGGCATTAACCAGACTGCAGGGAGGACCAGAAAACATTCCAGGCAGGAGGATGAGTGTGAGCAAAAAGACATCAAGTGACTGTTTCCAAAAACAAAGGTCCTAGAAAATTGCTTTGACTGTTGAACATCTGTGTGAAGAAACTTCAAATTCCAGTTAGGTGGTAGACAGTGCTAGTGTGGAAGTCAACAGAGCACTGAGCTTGAGTGCTGTCTCTGCCAATAAACGGACATTTACCTGTGGATATGGATTTTTTTTGGTAGGATAAGAAGAGCCTATCAGTAAAATGGGAATAAAGAATTAGTTCCTGTGTACCTTATGAGAAAATGGTATGAGAGCCACTCAAAGGGAGACTATTAAAGATAATAGTCAAAGCAATAGACTAAAATGTGGGGAGTAGAGAAAGTCATGAGAGTGAGATCCTGTGTCTGCATTTTTGGCATGGGTATGGCCATGTCAAAGGCCCTAGCCTCGGACCCAGAGGGAAATGCAAAATTGTTCCCTTCTGGTTCATGTGCAGATGTTGATAGTGTGTATGCAGAAAATGTCCACCAGAGCCACCAGATGTTATTGCCCAACGACTGCTCCCCTATGTAGGGAACTTACTGAGATTAGGTAAGTCTATCTCCTTCATCAAACTGTATAGCATAAACCCTGCCTTCTTTTTTTCTTCTGTATGTAATAACCCCTCCTCGATGTTTATCTAGATGCAATAATTCTTCTCTGTTTGACTCTACTTAATTAACAGGCTGAGCTTTTCAGGTGCTGTGCTTTCTCAAGCAGAGAGCCCAGCTGCTGACAGATTTCTGTCTGGTATGTCTGTGTGTTTGTCTTTTTCTCATTCCCTTTTTACCCCACTTCAGTCTGTCCCTGAAGCTGAACTGGATGTGGCAGTAAATATATGAAGAAGTGATTTCTTTGACTTTTTATTTAAGAAAAATCCAGTGCAAAAATAGAATAGTCAGGGCACTTGTGGCCGGGGGAATGCATTACTGGGCACCAATAATTATCAACACAAGGCCAGTCTTACTGCACAAATGGCCCTTATTCACCTACTTTGCATGTATTACCTTTGAAGCACATCCCACACACCATTGTACTTTCTCATAAATAATACTCATAAAGAAGAAATTTTAGCAATAAAAATAAAATTAATTAATAAAAACCCCCACCTTTTACATGAAACAAACCTTATAAACCTCTGAATAAAAATGACAATATTCTTGCTTTGGTATGTACAAAGCTCTTTCATTTCATTTCAACTTCTTCCTTAACCTAAAACCTCTGTTCTCAAAAACAGTAGAGGTTGCTGGAGAGATGCCTTGGTGTTTGAGAGTATTTGTTATTCTTGTGAAGGATGTTTCTCAGCATCTACATAGTGGCACACAACTATTTGTAACTCCAGTGCTAGGTCCAGTGACTTCTGAACTGTGATGGAACCAGGCACACACATAATGCTCAGACATATGTGTAGGCCAAACATTCATACATATAAAATAAGTAAGTATATTTTTACATTTTTAAAATATGGATGTTCACTCTCTGATGACCCACATTTCAAAATGCAGGATATTTTATTCAAAGGCTTCCCAATATAGATACTAAGCTATCTTCCACTCATAATGATCCTGTCAATCCTGTTGAGCATTCCTTGTTTACAGCTACTGATTTGGTTAGTATCGCAAGTGTACTGGTGATCTTGGTCCCTGGGTGACAATTGCATCTTCACTCCTAAATGATTTAAGCAGCATCCTGTCATCTCCCTAGCATCTTAATCTCCACTAACTTCCATATCAACTCCGCTTTAGCATATTCTGCTTATGGCCAACCTAGAGCTGCGTATCACCACTGCTCCATACTGGACACCATGTCTGTGTGCGCCCACCCACTTGGCCATCACACATTTTCTAGTTCAGAATACTCCTATGTGTCCATTGACCTTGGAGAGCCCTCAAGGCCCTACTTTCCTCCATTTATTTCCAGGTTCTTAGCCATTACCTACCTGATCTGTACTTCAGGTTCAATTGCCTGAATTGTCAATATATTTATTCATACCCCCAAAATTTCAATATTCGTCACATACCAAATATTCAATAATGCTCGACACACTTCTCTCCCTTGTTACTTTTATCCAATCTGTTACTGATCCAATCAAAATAAAGCTAAAAATAAATCAATTTAGTTCCAATTCTTCTAGGAACCTTCTAGTTTGGACTACTGCAATAACCTATTTACTGATCTGTCATACTCACACTTGTTCACTTTTCTAGTTACTGTTCAGCAGCAAAGTTTATATAATACCATTCCATGCTTAAAACTGCTATCGCAGCTTATTGTTATAGTATAAATAAATATAAATAGGGCCTCCCAAAGCAAAAGCATTTACTCAAAGTTTGAAAAGTAGATGTATTAGAACAAGTATAAAGAAATTTTGGATTCTTATTCCACTGGAATTATTATCACATACTGTATGTTATTTTTCTTGTGTTCAAAATTCATAAATTATATAATATTTTTATATTATCATTTTGTTTTTCTGGTATTAATTTTCAGTGTTGTTTGTTTTGAGACAGGGTCTTGCCTTACAATCAGACTTTTTTGTAGCCAAACTGACTTAGTCTATAACTGTTTGGTTTGAATTTTAGCTGATACATAAACACATAAAATTTATACAAGTATGAAGGCAGATACTTAAAAGAAATCCCACACTAGCTCAGAATTGAATATAATAGAGGATTATTTATTTAGGGGTACACTCACAGATTACAATCCTCTGCTCAAACAGGGAACAGCTACCGAATTCAGAAGCTGGAAAAGAGGCCAGACATGTGCTTCACAGCAACATATATAGTAAAGAGGCTACGCTCAAGTGGGCAGGTAACTTAAGGGCTACTGGCTGTAGGAATTCCTGCAGCACCTCCCCCTTTTGTTTAAATAAGAAAGTTCTAAGCTTAATACAAAATTATATACAATAAGAACAAATATCAGGTATAAAAATTAGAATTACAACCAGCAAAACAATATCAAGCAAGAAACATGTGATAAATGTTTCAATAATTAACCTAAAGAGTTTAAGTCTTATATTATAAATAACTTGGCTAAATAAAGAGAGGAAAATAACTAAAACTATCTAGGCTTTAACCCCGTTGAAGACCTGAGAAGGGAAATAATATTACTTGAGTAAGCAGGAAGTGCAATCAGGCAACTTCCAAAATATGCCACAAATGGCAGAGACACCTGGCTACCTGGGCAATCACCCAAAGCCTCATTTGCAACGTTGGAGCAACCAACTTTGGCTAAGGCCTAGAGTAACTGACAGATCATTTTCAGAGGCAGCAAAATTTTTCAAAACCATCGTACCCTGGCTTGGCAAGATTTGACAGTC